CTACCTACCCGACCTATGATATTACCTACCTGACCTGTACCCACCCTATGACACTACATACAGTGAAGGAAATGTGTATTTGCTCCCCTCTGATGGTGAATGTTCGCCCCTCACACAGAAACGATCGGTCTAACAATGGAATGTTCGCCCCTCACACAGAAATGATCGGTCTAACAATGGAATGTTCGCCCCTCACACAGAAATGATCGGTCTAACAATGGAATGTTCGCCCCTCACACAGAAATGATCGGTCTAAACAATGGAATGTTCGCCCCTCACACAGAAATGATCGGTCTAACAATGGAATGTTCGCCCCTCACACAGAAATGATCGGTCTAACAATGGAATGTTCGCCCCTCACACAGAAATGATCGGTCTAACAATGGAATGTTCGCCCCTCACACAGAAATGATCGGTCTAACAATGGAATGTTCGCCCCTCACACACAGAAATGATCGGTCTAACAATGGAATGTTCGCCTCTCACACAGAAATGATCGGTCTAACAATGGAATGTTCGGTGTAACACTGAGAGACAGAATACAACAACAAATTCAGCAGAAATGCGTCTAACAAATGATGACGGATCTGCATGTTCATGAGGGAAAGAAGGATTGGATCCCCTTCACAACACATGACTTAGTACTTGGTGGCCAATCCCTTGTTGGCCATCACAGATGGAGTTGGCCCCCAGGTTCGCACACATCTCAGGAGGGATTTTGGCCCACTCCTCTTGGCAGATCCTCTCCAAGTCATTAAGGTTTGGTGGCTGATGTTTGGCAACTTGGAACTTTCAGCTCCCTCCACAGATTTTCAATCGGATGAAGGTGTGGAGACTGGCTAGGCCACTCCGGGACCTTAATGTGCTTCTTCTTGAGCCGCTCCTTTGTTGCCTTGGCCGTGTGTTTTGGGTCATTGTCATGCTGGAACACCCATCCACCACCCATTTTCAATGCCCTGGCTGAGGGAAGAAGGTTCTCACCCAAGATTTGAGGGTACATTGCCCCGCCCATCGTCCCTTTGATGCGGTGCAGTTGTCCTGTCCCCTTAGCAGAAAAACACCCCCAAAGCAGAATGTTTCCACCACCATGTTTCACAGTTGGGATGGTGTTCTTGGGGTCATAGGCAGCATTCCTCCTCCTCCAAACACGGCGAGTTGAGTTGATGCCAAAGTACATAATACACAGAGTGCAGGGGTCAGGAGTACATAATGCACAGAGTGCAGGGGTCAGGAGTACATAATGCACAGAGTGCAGGGGTCAGGAGTACATAATACACAGAGTGCAGGGGTCAGGAGTACATAATGCACAGAGTGCAGGGGCCAGGAGTACATAATGCACAGAGTGCAGGGGTCAGGAGTACATAATGCACAGAGTGCAGGGGTCAGGAGTACATAATGCACAGAGTGCAGGGGCCAGGAGTACATAATGCACAGAGTGCAGGGGTCAGGAGTACATAATGCACAGAGTGCAGGGGCCAGGAGTACATAATGCACAGAGTGCAGGGGCCAGGAGTACATAATGCACAGAGTGCAGGGGCCAGGAGTACATAATGCACAGAGTGCAGGGGTCAGGAGTACATAATGCACAGAGTGCAGGGGTCAGGAGTACATAATACATGGAGTGCAGGGGTCAGGAGTACATAATACACAGAGTGCAGGGGTCAGGAGTACATAATGCACAGAGTGCAGGGGTCAGGAGTACATAATGCACAGAGTGCAGGGGTCAGGAGTACATAATACATGGAGTGCAGGGGTCAGGAGTACATAATGCACAGAGTGCAGGGGCCAGGAGTACATAATGCACAGAGTGCAGGGGTCAGGAGTACATAATACACAGAGTGCAGGGGTCAGGAGTACATAATGCACAGAGTGCAGGGGTCAGGAGTACATAATACATGGAGTGCAGGGGTCAGGAGTACATAATACACAGAGTGCAGGGGTCAGGAGTACATAATGCACAGAGTGCAGGGGTCAGGAGTACATAATACATGGAGTGCAGGGGTCAGGAGTGTGCAATGCAGAGAGTGCATGGGGTCATTAGAGCATAATGCACACAGTGCAGGGTCAGGTGTAACACACAGACCAGTGTACAGAGTACAAACAAAAATTCCTCCCTCCTCCCATAACAAATCATCCCCCTCAAGCCAATACCCCCCCCCCCCCCCAGTACAGATCTCCTCCATAGCCCTTACCTCCCCTCAGCACAGACTGATATCCCAATGCCTTCTCAGCATTGACACCCCCAATAGAGACCATCCTCACAGCACACTCTGCCCTCCCAGCCCTTTCCCAGGACAGATCCCTTCACAGTACAGGTCCTCTGACTCCCCCCCCCCCCCCCCCAGTTCAGACCTCCTCCCTCATCACCAGTATTGACCCTTTCTCTCCAGTACAGACCCTGTTTCCAGTACAACCCTCCCCTTTTCCCACCAGTACTGACTGCCTCCCTCCCCTACAGCACTGACCCCCTCCCTCCCTACAATACAGAACTCCCCTCCAGTACAGAGTCCCTGTCCAATACAGACCCCCCCTCCCCACCAGTACAGAATCCCCCTCCAGTACAGACCCCCCTCCCCACCAGTACAGAATCCCCCTCCAGTACAGAATCCCCCTCCAGTACAGACCCCCCCCCCCCCTCCCCACCAGTACAGAATCCCCCTCCAGTACAGAGCCCTCTTCTAGTGAAGACCTCCTTGCTTCAGTACAGACCTCCTAACACCCCATCAGTACAGACCCCCTTCTAGTACAGAGCCCCCCTCCAGTGTAAACCTACCTTCCCACCAGTACATATCTCCCTCCACCCAGCAGTACAGCCCCCCTCCAGTTCAGACCCCTCTCCAGTACAGACCCTCAACAGTATAGAGCCCCCTCTTTAGTACAGACCTCCTCCTCCTCCAGTACAAACTCCCCATACAGTGAAGACCACCGCCCTCCCTACCAGTCAGTATAGAATCCCTCTCCAGTACAAAGCCCTCCCCACCAGTACATAACACCTCTCAAGTACAGAGCCCCCTCTTCAGGACAGACCTCCTCCCTCCAGTACATATTTCCTTCACACCAATACAACCCCCTATACAGTGAAGACCACCACCCTCTCCCTCCCCCCAAATACAAAATCCCTCTCCAGTACAGAACCCCTTCCTCCAGTACAGTGCCCTCCCCACCAGTACAGAATCCCTCTCTAGTAAAGAGCCCCCCCTCCAGTACATACCCCTCTTCCCATCAGGACAACCCCCCCTCTAGTACAAAGCTCCCGCTTCCAGTACAGACCTCCTCCCTCCAGTACAGATCCCTTCTCCCCCCAAGCTCACTTAGAGGAGGAATGCAGTGCCAGTAGGAAGTCCCTCTCTTGGTCCCTTGGCTGGAGCTGATGAAAAGCTTCACTCATCCTGCAATATGAATGAGCAGCAGAGGAATGAGGCAATAAAACGCATTTATATGCCAAAACCAGGGTGGTCAGACCTTCATACACCTTGTCATTTGTATGCAAATCACATGACAATATGCATATGAATCAGCTGTGGACACAGTGTACAGGGGCAGAGCCTTTGTAGGACAGACCCCTACATACCTGACCTGAGACACTACATACCTGACCTGTACCTGACCTGTGACACTACATACCTGACCTGTACCTGACCTGTGACACTACATACCTGACCTGTACCTGACCTGAGACACTACATACCTGACCTGTACCTGACCTGTGACACTACATACCTGACCTGTACCTGACCTGTGACACTACATACCTGACCTGTACCTGACCTGAGACACTACATACCTGACCTGTACCTGACCTGTGACACTACATACCTGACCTGTACCTGACCTGAGACACTACATACCTGACCTGTACCTGACCTGTGACACTACATACCTGACCTGTACCTGACCTGTGACACTACATACCTGACCTGTGACACTACATACCTGACCTGTACCTGACCTGAGACACTACATACCTGACCTGTACCTGACCTGTGACACTACATACCCGACCTGTACCTGACCTGAGACACTACATACCTGACCTGTGACACTACATACCTGACCTGTACCTGACCTGTGACACTACATACCTGACCTGTACCTGACCTGAGACACTACATACCTGACCTGTACCTGACCTGTGACACTACATACCTGACCTGTACCTGACCTGAGACACTACATACCTGACCTGTGACACTACATACCTGACCTGTACCTGACCTGTGACACTACATACCTGACCTGTACCTGACCTGTGACACTACATACCTGACCTGTACCTGACCTGAGACACTACATACCTGACCTGTACCTGACCTGTGACACTACATACCTGACCTGTACTTTACCTGTGACACTACATACCTGACCTGTACTTTACCTGTGACACTACATACCCTGACACTACATACCCAACCTGTACCTGACCTTTGATACTATGTACCCATGTAAATAAAATAAATACTGCTGCATAAAAAATGTGCATAAATTAATTGAAATGATATAAGTCCACATTCATATATTAAATAATTAAAAGTCCCAAAATCCAATAACACAGTGCTGTATGCTAAAGAAATCCACAAACGGAAAGTGCATAGGTGTCCAGAAATGTTTGACACAAAAGAAAAAATCAGCCTCTTACCAGACACTTTGATCTTCAATCTAGAGATCAAACGAGCAGATGGTGTTCAGATCCCACACTGACACCCTAGTTAGCCGTGTCAAGGAGATGAATAGGAGATGAATGGACAACTGCAGGTTCACGTGAATGAATCCATCACATCAGACAGCTGTCTGGATTCGTTCAAGTGAACCTGCAGTTGTCCATTCATCTCCTATTCATCTCCTTGACACGGCTAACTAGGGTGTCAGTGTGGGATCTGAACACCATCCGCTCGTTTGATCTCTAGATTGAAGATCAAAATGTCTGGTAAGAGGCTGACCTGACCATTTTAGGTCCCCCCCCCCCCATCACAGGACTTCCCATTTCAGTGAAGAACTGAACTACATACATACACTATATTGCCGGAAATATTGGGCCAGCCCTCCAAATCATGTGATTCAGGTGTTCTAATCCCCTCCATATCATGTGATTCAGGGGTTCCAATCCCCTCCCAATCACATGATTCAGGTGTTCCAATCCCCTCCATATTATGTGATTCAGGTGTTCCAATCCCCTCCCAATCATGTGATTCAGGTGTTCCAATCCCCTCCATATTATGTGATTCAGGGGTTCCAATCCCCTCCCAATCACATGATTCAGGTGTTCCAATCCCCTCCATATTATGTGATTCAGGTGTTCCAATCCCCTCCCAATCATGTGATTCAGGTGTTCCAATCCCCCCATATCATGTGATTCAGGTGTTACAATCCCCTCCCAATCATGTGATTCAGGTGTTACAATCCCCTCCCAATCATGTGATTCAGGTGTTCCAATCCCCTCCATATCATGTGATTCAGGTGTTACAATCCCCTCCCAATCATGTGATTCAGGTGTTCCAATCCCCTCCATATCATGTGATTCAGGTGTTCCAATCCCCTCCATGGACACAGGTGTATACAATCAAGCCCCTAGGCATGCAGACGGCTTCTACAAACATTGGTGAAAGAATGGGTCGCTCTCAGGAGCTCAGTGACTCCAAGCGTGGTCCCGTGATAGGTGGCCACCTGGGCAATAAGTCCATCCGTGACATTTCCTGGCTACTAAATATTCCACGCTCAACTGTTAGTGGGATTATAACAAAGTGGAAGCAACTGGGAACAACAGCCACTCAGCCACCAAGTGGTAGGCCACGTCACATGACAGGGCGGGGTCAGCGCATGCTGAAGCGCACAGTGCGCAGAAGTCACCAACTGTCTGCAGAGTCAATAGCTAAAGACCTCCAAACTTGGTGTGGCCTTCAGATGAGCCCAACAACAGTGCGTAGAGAGCTTCATGGAATGGGTTTCCATGGCCGAGCAGCTGCATCCAAGCCTTCCATCACCAAGTGCAATGCAAAGCGTCGGATGCCGTGGTGTAAAGCACGCCGCCACTGGACTCTAGAGCAGAGGAGACGTGTTCTCTGGAGTGACCAATCACGCTTCTCTGCCTGGCCATCCGATGGACGTGTCTGGGTTTGGCGGCTGCCAGGAGAACGGTACTTGCCTGACTGCATTGTGCCAAGTGTAAGGTTTGGTGGAGGGGGGGATTATGGTGGGGGTTGTGTTTTCAGGGGTTTTATTTATTACAGGTACTTATATACCACCATCAATTTACAAAGTGCTTTATATATATATTGTACATTCACATCAGTCCCTAACCCTCAAAGAGCGTATCATTGAAGGTCCCTGACACACATTCATACATACACATTCCAGGGCCAATTTAGACATAAACAAATTAACCTACCAGGGTTGTCCCACCAGGTACTTCCCCGGAGGAAACCCATGCAGGCACAGGGAGAACGTGCAATTTCTAGGCAGGTGGTGTCATGGCTGGGATTTGAACCAACAACCCTAGTACTGGTAGGCAGAAGTACTAACCTTTTAGCCTCTGTGGTTTGGCTTGGCCCCCTAGTTCCAGTGAAGGGAACTCTTAAGGCGACATTTTGGACAATTTCATGCTCCCAACTTTGTGGGAGGAGTTTGGGGATGGACCCTTCCTGTTCCAACATGACTGCGCACCAGTGCACACAGCAAGATCCATAAATACATGGAGGAGCCAGTTTGGGGTGGAGGAACTTGACTGTCCTGCACAGAGTCCTGACCTCAACCCCATAGAACACCTTTGGGATGAATTAGAGCGGAGACTGCGAGCCAGGCCCCCTCCCCCGACATCAGTGCCTGACCTGACAAATGTGCTTCTGGAAGAATGGTCCAACCTTCCCATAGACACCCTCCTAAACCTTGTGGGGGGCCTTCCCAGAAGAGTTGAAGCTGTTATAGCTGCAAAGGGCGGGGCCAACTCAATATTGAACCCTACGGGCTAAGACTGGGGGGCCATTAAAGGTCATGTGCATGGAAAGGGCGGGACCAACTCAATATTGAACCCTACGGACTAAGACTGAGAGGCCATTAAAGGTCATGTGTGTGGAAAGGGCGGGGCCAACTCAATATTGAACCCTACGAACTAAGACTGGGGGGCCCATTAAAGGTCATGTGTGTGGAAAGGGCGGGGCCAACTCAATATTGAACCCTACGAACTAAGACTGGGATGCCATTATAATTCCTGTGAATGGGAAGGCCGGAGGCCCGATACTGGGGGCAATATAGTGTAGAATAAAATATACGGTTTATGGACCGGGCATTGATCAGTCAGGTAGAACCAGTTCAGCTTTATCGTTACAATGAAGGTGCAATTTCTCTTTAAAGGGTAACTCTACTTTCTTTGGGAAAAAAAAAAATAACCAAAACAAACCCCCCACAATATATAACATACGGTGAAGGAAATGCGTATCTCCTGGGCCAACCCAATATTGAACCCTACGGACTAAGACTGGGGGGCCATTACAGTTCATGTGCGTGGAAAGGCCGGCGACCCAATAGTTTGGGCATTATAGTGTATCTAGTAGCATTTCTATTTTTGTGCTGAATGGACTAAATGTCCATTACTCGGTTGAGGCCCAGAACAGCCAAAGTCTGAACGTGTGTGCAAATGGCCAGCCAACCCAATATTGAACCCTACGGACTAAGACTGGGGGGGCCATTAAAGTTAACATGCGTGGAAAGGCCGGCGACCCAATAGTTTGGGCAATGTAGTCTATCTAGTAGCACTTCTATTTTTGTGCTGAATGGACTAAATGTCCATTACTCGGTTGAGGCCCAGAACAGCCAAAGTCTGAATGTGTGTGCATATGGCCGGCCAACCCAATATTGAACCCTACGGACTACGACTGGGAGGCCATTAAAGGTCATGTGTGTGGAAAGGGCGGGGGCCAACCCAATATTGAACCCTACGGACTACGACTGGGAGGCCATTAAAGGTCATGTGTGTGGAAAGGGCGGGGCCAACCCAATATTGAACCCTACGGACTACGACTGGGAGGCCATTAAAGGTCATGTGTGTGGAAAGGGCGAGGCCAACCCAATATTGAACCCTACGGACTACGACTGGGAGGCCATTAAAGGTCATGTGTGTGGAAAGGGCGAGGCCAACTCAATATTGAACCCTACGGACTAAGACTGGGAGGCCATTACAGTTCATGTGTGTGGAAAGGGCGGGGCCAACTCAATATTGAACCCTACGGACTAAGACTGGGAGGCCATTACAGTTCATGTGTGTGGAAAGGGCGGGGCCAACCCAATATTGAACCCTACGGACTACGACTGGGAGGCCATTAAAGTTCATGTGTGGAAATGCCGGCGACCCAATAGTTTGGGCATTATAGTGTATCTAGTAGCACTTCTATTTTTGTGGTGAATGGACTAAATGTTCATTACTCGGTTGAGGCCCAGAACAGCCAAGGTCTGAACGTGTGTGCAAATGGCCGACCAACCCAATATTGAACCCTACGGACTAAGACTGGGAGGCCATTAAAGTTCATGTGCGTGGAAAGGGCGGGGCCAACTCAATATTGAACCCTACGGACTAAAAGACTGGGAGGCCATTAAAGTTCATGTGCGTGGAAAGGGCGGGGCCAACTCAATATTGAACCCTACGGACTAAGACTGGGAGGCCATTAAAGTTCATGTGCGTGGAAAGGGCGGGGCCAACCCAATATTGAACCCCTACGGACTAAGACTAGGAGGCCATTAGAGTTCACATGCTGGGGAAAGGCCCGCGACCCAATAGTTTTGGGCAATGTAGTCTATCTAGTAGCACTTCTATTTTTGGTGGTGAATGGACTAAATGTCCATTACTCGGTTGAGACCCAGAACAGCCAAAGTCTGAACGTGTGTGAAAATGGCCAGCCAACCCAATATTGAACCCTACGGACTACGACTGGGAGGCCATTACAGTTCATATGTGTGGAAAGGGCGGGGCCAACCCAATATTGAACCCTACGGACTACGACTGGGAGGCCATTAAAGGTCATGTGTGTGGAAAGGGCGAGGCCAACCCAATATTGAACCCTACGGACTACGACTGGGAGGCCATTACAGTTCATGTGTGTGGAAAGGGCGGGGCCAACCCAATATTGAACCCTACGGACTACGACTGGGAGGCCATTACAGTTCATGTGTGTGGAAAGGGCGGGGCCAACTCAATATTGAGCCCTACGACTACGACTGGGGGGCCATTAAAGTTCATGTGTGTGGAAATGCCGGCGACCCAATAGTTTTGGGCAATGTAGTGTATCTAGTAGCATTTCTATTTTTTGTGCTGAATGGACTAAATGTCCATTACTCTTTGAGGCCCAGAACAGCCAAAGTCTGGTCTGAACGTGTGTGCATATGGTCGGCCAACCCAATATTGAACCCTACGGACTAAGACTGGGGGGGCCATTACAGTTCATGTGCGTGGAAAGGGCGGGGCCAACCCAATATTGAACCCTACGGACTAAGACTGGGGGGCCATTACAGTTCACATGCGTGGAAAGGCCGGCGGTCCAATACTTGGGGCAATATAGTGTATTTTTGCTCCCTGCTCTGTAGTAGGTCTCCATTTTCCCCAACGCATGCATTGGTGTGAAGCGGGCACATGGACAACAATAGAATTGCTCCGTCCTCGCACTGAGCGTGCGTTCATTAACTCCAATCAGCACACTATTTGCAAACGGGTCCGAAGTGCTGAAAGCTGGACCATCCAGCGGCGGCCTGGCCCCTCCCCTGAGAGATATCAGTTACATGAGGATCTGTGCATTGTAATCCCTCCAGAATTAGACCCCTCAGGAGACAATGAAACCCAACCCTTCATTATCTGCCATTTGGTGGGTGTGGTGGGGTGTCGGGGTCACGTACCTGGGGGGGGGGGGGGCGGGAGGGGGGCATGTGCTGGAAATTAACTGGGAATGTCACTCCAATCATATGAGTCCCACAAATAGAAAGTGTTTTACAACCCCGATGATGGAAGCTGTCCAAACTCGGCACATGGGGGCCGGGGGTGAGCAGACACCGGGCAGGAGGAACATTCCAGGAATACAATGGACATCACCCGGGGACTCCGACAGAGGCGAGAATTAGGAGACGAGTAGTATCCAAATTATACAATTAGAGGCAGACATCATAGGAGCGACCCGGAATTATATGTAATATTCTGCAATGATAATCTGTGGAACATCAACAGCTCAACGCCGGGGGAGGCAAAACACGCACTTTACCTTCTGGTACCGCCCCTTCCTCCATAACTCCTCTCCTGAAATACTCTGCACTGCTGGAGGACTCCGCTCCTTCCTCTATAACTCTCCTCTCCTTCCTCTATAACTCCTCTCCTGAAATACTCTGCTCTGCTGGAGGACTCCGCTCCTTCCTCTATAACTCCTCTCCTGAAATACTCTGCACTGCTGGAGGACTCCTCTACTTCCTCTATAACTCTCCTCTCCTGAAATACTCTGCACTGCTGGAGGACTCCGCTCCTTCCTCTATAACTCTCCTCTCCTGAAATACTCTGCTCTGCTGGAGGACTCCGCTCCTTCCTCTATAACTCTCC